CAGAGATAACCACCGTTCTATGACTGGTTTCGTGACGTAAAAACTTATCAAAATTGACTGAAATTTTGTTTTCGGAATTCCCAAGCATGACTATTAAGTTGAATTAATTGTACAGAGTGACGTCGTGTATGGAGTCATCAGTTGCAAATAAAAAATCATTACCTATCCTTATTTATAAGTTTTTTAAATAACGCTGTAGGTATATTGTTTAATAAGGTACCTAGATATTTCGTTTAATCTTATATAGAAGTTTAAAATGTGTATAAGTAAGTGGTAGTATTTTAGTAGACACTGGTCTATACTTACTTTTAATGAAACTTTAAAAAGAAAAAAAAATCTATTGGGATTTGTGTAAGTACGCTCTTAAGATACGCTTATTTCAAAACTAGTAAAAACAAATCTATTCCACGGTTACCGTACATTTTTTCGAGATAAAAAATAACCTATGTGCTATTCCAGACTATTATCTATCTGTGCCAAATGTCTTTCAGATCCTGTTTTTGAGTCAAAAATATAGATATTTATATGCTAATAACTTCTGTCGTACGCAATATTTCTTTAAAATAAAAACGTACGGACCTAGATTTTCATTATATCTACAACATTTCCAAAAATTATGAAAATTAGACTGTGTTTATGGGGGGAAAACGTTATCGCTTTTTGTATGAAAATTTACAGCTTCACAATCCTCTTAACTTTCTGGCGTTCCGTCGTTCTGACATGAAACAGCAACAAACATCCATCCATCCACCCTCACAAACTTTGACATTTATAATATTAGTACTTCGTAATTCGTATGTATAGATTACATGTGATATTCTTTTTTCATAAGAGTCGATTTTTTCACAAAAATATAATGGTTTGTGAAGGTATAATAATAATTAATTGGAACTGTTCACAATTATCAAAGATAAAAACATATCTAGATCCGAGTAGAATAACATTTTTTTGAAATCGTTCAAGAATACAAATTCAAATAAAATTTTATTGCTATTCACATAAAAATCCGAAGGAGGCACTTGCGCCGTACCTACTATAAGTGTAATATATGAAGCGAGCGCCAAACAAAACCAAACACAGGTGTTTATAACGATGTAAACTAAATAAAGAAACAGTGCGCGTGCGCATTCATCGGCGCATCCATTGTAAATATCAGTATGTATATATGACAATATATGTATTATTGAAATATCTTAAAGAACTATGGAATGTTCTACACATACACAAATATATAATTTATATTTTATACAAAAAAAAATGGCATGAACATCATAGGATTGTTTATCTATACTACTACGAGTATACATTTATACCGATTAAAGATAAAAAAAAATTGAAGCGTCTGTTTGTAATATCAAAATAACAGCTTTTTACTATACGCATATGAAATTATGTATGGTACTTATAAGAAAACAACAAATTTTAAAATTTTTGTCTGTCTGTCCGTCTGTTCCGGCTAATCACCGAAACAGCCGGACTGATTTTGACGGGACTTTCGCTGGTAGATAGTTTATGTTATAAGGAATAACTTGGGCTACTTTTATTTTAGAGAAAGAATTAGGGTTCCGCTCGAAAAAAACGTATCTAGGGACGCAGCAGAGCGAAACGAGTGTGAGTCACTAGTTGGATTTATCATCATAAAAATCTATATCTGTATAGAGATCTGCTACTTCGGAAGTAGTAGAATTTCTTTCAGACGTGTCTCCATAAATATAAAAAAACTAAATGTAATTTTTTTTATAATAATAAAATTTTTGTTCAAATGTTTTTTACAAATGCATTTCAAATGTAGCTATGGAAAAATATTTACTTGCATTAAAACATCTTAAAGAGTACTTTATACTTAGTATAATTTTATTTCTTAACAAAACAAATAAAATCAATGACTTCAAAGTGTTGACATAGAAAAAATCGAACTCGTGATCTTTGGAATTGTTGTCAACTAGGTAAGCAGCCACTGTGCAATATCCTATACAATTATTAAGATCTTTAGCAAAAATGAGGTTATTATGATTATAGCCTTTTTATATGTCTTATTATTCTGACGGATGTCAGTAAGCTCTTTTCTCTTCCCTTCATTATAATAATTTATCCTCAATGGCGCAAAAGTTAAATGTTGTTTGCGTTACAAGTTCGATTTATTCAGGAAGTATGTCAAATCTACAATTTAAGTTAATGTAATGTTTGTTTTGGCTTAAAAATCTGTAGTAATTATGTTTTAAATAGAAAATTTCCTACTTTCGAACAGGCGTCTCCATTTTGTCTTTTTTAACAACATAATGCGATAGACTTTATATTATATATGATGATGATTTCCATGTAATGATATAACCACTCCACAATAGAGGCAGGTTTTTTCTATATTTATGAGATATTTATGTGATATCCACAAATAACATAAGAAATAACATAAGAATTGTAAAACTCGGTTTACATTTGTTTAAGACATCGCAACATACAAAAAAATATACACACGAATTCATTACCTCCTCTTTTTAGACGGTAAAAAAAAGGTACATTTATTTATATTAGAACGCCCAGTGGTCGAGATTTGGCCATAATCATTGTTAAAACGAAAACATATAAATACACTGGTTCCAATTTTCCAATTTTTTTTATTGATTACACTAGAAATCTTCAATAGCTAGGTATTAAACAAAAAAAAGAAAGATATAATTAATCAGTTGACAAACAAATGACAAATATGTAAAGAACTCTTTTGTCTTTGCTTATTTATATATAGACTAGCGGCTCACCCTCGCTTCGCTTTTGCTTTCGCTCGGGTTTGTCCCTAGGATGCTTCCCCATACAAACTTTCATCTCCATTTTTTCACTCCCTTAAGAGATGATTTCCGGGATAAAAAGTATCCTATGTCCTTCCCAGGGTCTCAAACTATTTTCTTACCAAATTTCATCTAAATCGGTTCAGTAGATCCAGAGATTACCCCATACAACGTCACAAACTCATAATTCACAAATTTACCTTTTTGTAATATTAGTATAGACTAATAAGTTAAATATAACAGACGACAAAGTAGACGTGAAGGCAAATTTCAAAAAAAAAACTCGACAGTAATTGTTGGCTAGAAGTGACAGGTGCATGTCACCGGCCAGTTTTTAATTACATTTATCTGTTTCCTTATATTGCGAGCAGAAATTCGGAGACTAGTTTGGAGTCGACGGTCGATTTCACGCTCTGCATACAGTTTCTGAGAAAGGCGTCCATAGCAGGATGTTCACTAAAGCCGATGTAAAAATAAATAACTTTTTAAAACATTTTATTAGACATGTAACGATGTTTATTAGAATTAACGTGAATGAAATAATGCTTCTTTTTAACACGCTTTTTTATATTAGCTTCACTTCTAATCGACAATGTAATCAAATCTAGGATGACAATTTTAATCTTCTCCGCATTGTCCTATCAAAATGAAATTTACCGGTGGTAGGTCTCTGTCAAGCCTGAGGAGTCCGACTGGATGGGTTCCACCCCCTTATCTATTTCTCCCGCCAAGCAACAATGATTACATTGTTGTGTTCCGGTTTGAAGGATAAGGTAGCCAGCGCAATTACAGACAAGAGGCATATCATCTTAGTCCTCACAGTGACAACGCACCTGCGGTTCTGCATTTTTGCTACATACAACCTAAGTGCATGAACCGTAGGTGTTATGGGCGACACGTACTGCTTTCCATCAGGTGTTCTGTCTGCTCGTTTGTCACTGAACCCCATAAAAAAAATCTTTGAATGTACATTTACTATAATTTGGTATTGCAGCTGATCTGATGATGCAACCATGAGGTGGATAGTGGCACTCTTCAGTGGCTACTATTAAAACCCTCGAGCTTGAGCTCATATGATTTTTCTTCGCGAGACCAAACATTTCAATTTATCAAAAAAGTGTTTTATTAGTTACTAGCAGCTCACCCTCGTTTCGCTCGGGTTCGCCTCTAGAACAACAAAAAAAATCTATCCTACGGGAAGCGCACATTTTCCGGGATTGAAAGTAGACTGTGTGCTATTCCAGGCTATAATCTATCTTTTTGGGTATTTTCTTAACGCAACAGAACCCAAAACAATGTTTTTTAGATTGTCTGTTTGTCTGTGCGTTTGATCGTTTGTGCGCGCTAATCACAAAAACGGATAAATTGATTTACATGCGGTCTTCACTAATGTATTGTGGTAAGCTTCACTTAACATTTAGTATTTATTTTATTTCAATCGGTTCATAAATAAAAAAACTTTGTCAATTTAAATAATCACAACAAAAAATAAAGAATATGTGTTTCAATAATGTATGTTTTGTTAAAAAAGTTCAAATCGTAATTTGGCCTAGCCATTATAAAAACTAAAAAGGTCAGATATGATATTAAATTCATAGGTATTAAATGAAATCGACTATCCAACCTTAATTAAAGTGAACGAAGGATTTTACTCTAAATTCAATATTCAATGGCCAAAATTCAGCCGATTAGAACACAAAGCCTTGAACAAGTCGTGACTTCCTACTCGCTTTCTACCACTGTATCTGATACCTGATTCATTAGTAATTTAGAATGGATTACATCAATTGCGAAATGGTTTGAAGATGAATTGATTCTTCGAACAACTAATGGATATTTTATTTATCTTTTTGCTTATTAGCTGTTACTCGAAGTGATTTCCTCATAATTCATAGTTTGTAATGGTTATGTAACTTTGATGTTATGTTATTTTTACATGTATTTATTGCATAAGCAAAAGCTAAAATATATAGATTATATGTAATAACTCGAGTCGTTTTAAGATACTTCACAAAAATAAATCGTTTGATATTGATATTCCATCAAAAATGTTAAAAAAATTGAAATAATTTATTTAACCTATCAATTTTGACCGCCTATACCAAACGAGAACATTTTGTTATGCGCAGCAAGTTGAAAATTACAAAAAACGTAGCAATTACCAGCCGATATTGTACAGACCTGAAAAATAAGCTCTGAAACCATCAATCTACTCACCCTTTTTCTCCCGGTCCTAATTTATTGTTTTCCACGACAGCCGTCGCCCGGAGCCTGTGATCTGGCTCACCCAACAGTTTCTCACATCTACCGTTATTCAAGTGCTCCCTTGCAACATTGTACGCGTCACTTATATCACTTTTCACTTCACTTTCCACTACAACTTTAACACTTTTCTCACTAGAATCCTTCTCGTGCTTTTCTGGTTCAATTTTATCTACTACTTCTTCTTTTTTCTCTATTCCATTAGCTATTAAAGGCGCTGGTTTGACTTGTAACGATTTAGGCTGTGACTTCGGAGATGATATTGTCGGTTTAGTTTCGATAGCCCCGTTTTCGTTTATCGACGTGACGTAGACTGAAGAATTGGCGATGTACCCGTTTAGTTCTTGTCTAATCTCTGGCTGAGAATGTTTCCTTCTATTTAACTGGAAAGAAAGCTGTGTGTTATTAACTAGTTTTTTCATGTGTTATCCTTTAAACTATGGACACATGTTCATAGGAAATACCCATAATGTAATAAAAAAACCTGTAATACATTTCCTCCTTCTAATTTTACAATGTTATTTAAATTTTGAAAATTTGCATTTGTGACAGCACACTGCAGAACTACGTAGATAAGCTATCACAATGTATGTTCAATTTTTTTATAATTCTTATTAAATATCTAACAACATGCTCATAAATTAATAAATAATTGAGCACTTTCGTAAATGAGTACAAAAAATTAAAAATCTCATAACATTTCAACTAGGTCAAAACAGTTACGAAACTGTTTAAAACAAGCAATATTCTGGACCAAGAACTCTAAAACTTTAAACTAGCAGTGCAAGCGAGGGGCAACTTAGGAGGGTAAAAACCACCTCCTCGTATTATTACGATTATTCAAACAATAGCACATTACAGAGCTACAACGAGGTATTGTTGTCCAATCAGTAACCACTTTCAGTCATTTGGCTCGCCTTATCATTATGGTGTTTATCGACAAGTTGAACATCTCTAGTTTTCTATGAATAATTCTTATTGTTCTTTCTTCTAATACTTTTGTTAAAATAAATTCTTTAATTTTAATTGGGGTTTTTTTATTATATTTAAAACAAAGTCTTATTAGGTGCATTTAATGATTTAGGAATCGGTATTACCATTTAGCGGGGAAATGCGGCTGGCATTCTTGCCACTATTCCACGCGGACATGATTTGTACAGTAATAATTAGTGTCTATTTGTTTTGCTTATATGTATATATGTATAACTAAGTATATTCGTAAGTTCCTTTATTGTAACTAAACATATCTTCTAAAAATAAATAATAAGACTGATAAAATTTATGATGATTCAAACATCTCAAGTCAAAACCATTCTAAATTCTCTTTCTGTATAATACGATACATACATTTATCCACATTTCAAAGACAAAAAATTGTATTAAAATGAAAGCTGTTGAATTATTATTTATTAGTGACTCATCCTACCTTGTACCTTCCTACCTACTTAACCTACCTTAGTACCTTTTTGTATTACTTATATGTATTGCATGGGAATCACTTGTTGTGCCGAGATAAAATGAAAGATTATTATGGCATATAATTACTTCTCAAGTTAAAAGACAACACGGACTGCAAAATCACTGACATATGATTAATCCACCATTGTTTTTTTAAATGTACATTAAATCTTCAAATGTAACATAACTTATTAATAAAAAATACTAAACAAAAACTAACATACACCCAAAACCTTTTTTTGTGCCATTCAAAATCCTTATCAGTCTTTTGTTGTTGTGTATATGAAAAACTTGCTAAAAAACACTCGCATTTATAACGCTAAATAAAATCTGATAAAGAACATAAATCAAGAGAGCTGTGACGAATGGTTTTTATAATATTAATTGATGTAGGTAGCCTCCCTTCATCTATTAAACCGGTCGCGGTAAAAATTGGAGCAACAAGTGGGATAAAAATAATTGCTTGGAACTGAGTTATTTTTCATGAAAAGTGTTTTAAGAGTTTTTTTGGGAATAGATCATTTTTTTATATAAATATATCAATAATATTGTGATATATCATATAGGTACTATACATTAATATTTTTATACATCGTTTTTTACGTATGAGGAAATATGCTTCTTTGAGCTTCAAAGAAATATGTAATTACATATATTCTTTCTATTTAATTTATTAAGTTGACATTCATAAGGCATAAATGCTTAAGCATTAAATACTATTATTGTTCAAACTGAGTTTTTGATAATTTCATCGGACTGCACCGTTTCTACAATTAGGTTCTAAATATAAAATTAAAGAAACAAACAAAGACAAAGTATGTTTATTCTTTCACGCGGAAACGGCTGGACGGACTTGATAAAACATTTAACCACAGATAAACTTCGCCCTGGAGTTACACTAACGTTAGGGAGGCACTCGAGCGAAGGGTGGGTAGGTCGCTACTAAAATATAATGTTGCTTATTTTAACCGAAATATTATTCGACCGCCTCGTTAGTGCAATGAGGTCGTTCTCTAGAGTTTAGGGTTCAACTTGAACGTGTGGTGGCTGCCTAAAATAATGATCCTAATAATATGTAGTATCTGTGTTATGATGTATGATATATTCTATTATACATATATACTTACAATATAGTACCTAATAATTTGTATACTACTTTAAAGCTTGTCAGTTGATTACAATTTATTTTGCCTATGTAACATAGAATAAAAATGTATCAAAGGAGATTTATTGGTCCACAAAGAATAATATAAGAAGTCCTGTTTTTGCCACAACTTTAACTATACATATATTAATCATATGTTAATAGCCCCATATGATAGTAATCTATACATATAATAAAATTGTAACTAAGCCGAATCTGTACATTAAATATTTTTTGGAAAATCTTATTGAAATAAACATATCGATAATAATATCGATACAGAGGCCGAATCTATAGATTTTAGAATTTTTGTCTGTCTGTTACCACATCACAGAAAAACCACTGCAAGGATTTTTATAAAATTTGGTATGGTGATAGCTGGTTATCTGGGTCAACATATAGGATACTTTTTAATTTTAATATCTCATTTCTGAGAAAAAATACAAAAACGGCAATGTAAGAGTATACCTACTAATCTGTAAAACCTAAGAATTTGGTTTTTGGTCAACTGAAAGCGGGTGGGTCCGCGGGCAATGCTAATCTGTAATATTAAGAAACGTAGAAAAAAAGCGGTTTCCTTATAGGTTTCTACGACTTACTTTATTTACTATAAACACGACTAATACGCTATATACCACATATACGAAATAAACAAAAGAGCTCGCCGGTAACGAGGACAGCCTTTATGTACCAAAAGAAAAATAAAAAAAAATGCTTGACTTCAAATTAATGTCATTATAATTGAATCGGTCATTTCAAAAACCACTTAAGTCAACATTTTTTCCAACAAGCTTTTTTTACAGAAAATGGTTTTTCAAAGGTAGATGCGTATTCTGGGTGAAAACAACTTAAGTCAATACATTCCTTCCTGCAAATGTTGAAGATAATCCAGATGAAAATGATGGAGAATATGACTATGTACCATAAAGATATTAAAACATGACAAATTAATACATTTAAAATGTTAATAAGATTATTTTTAAGTGTTATTCTTAATTATAAGCAATAAAAAATATGATTACTACAATTTTTTTGGTTAAACTATATACCACTAAACCTATTTCTCGCTAAAACAACATAAGTCAAGAACTGTTTATCAGGTTTTTTTCATTATTTCTATTAATAAAGCGTAAGGATTATACGCTATTTTAATTTTTTACCACTCAAATACTAGATTAACCATAAAAAAGTCCTTCAAAACTCATTTGTTTGTGTATGAAACAGTTTTTATTGATTTCTGAAAAATTATAATTTTGTGACTTATGAGGTTTTTGAAATGACCGATTCAATTTTAAGTGAAATATAAAAAGTGTTCATTCCTATAAATGAAAATACTTTCGGATTCGGATCAGTACTTTCAGAGATTACCCTCTATATTCAAACTTACAAACTTTACCTCTTTATATATCTTCTCTTATCTTCGTCTTTATACTTTACCTATTTATAATGTTAGAGAAGAAGTGTAGTAAAAAAACCTACCTATTATATTTTATTTAAAAAATCCTAACTTTCTGAGTTATTAACAAAACAACGTTTATTTTTCCTGTTCAAAACAATACTCAAAATTTAACTAAAATTTCCCTTTTGGCTTCTACATCATACTAAACATAAACACATTTTTTCAATAATAAATGTACCAAATCGACCGTTGTTACTATTTAATAACATTTTAACTCAATAAAAATAACTGAAATTCAAAAGCGTAGAAGTAATTTATCAAAGAGATATGTACCAAGTATACGTTGGAGTTTGAGCGAAAAATGCTAAACGCTTCATATATCAAATTGATCCCAGTAAAACACGAGACGGCATTTAAATATGCACATACGATTTCTTGCTACTTTATATGTACGGCAATATATTCTTGTCAGTTTGTTAATCATCCTACTTGCCTCGCATTGTATGGCCAATTTCCTATACAGTAATTGGGCTATTATTCATTTCAATTTAGGGTTCCGTTTCAAAAAAAGGAACGACCAAACCCTTATTTCATCAACCATGTCGAAGTCCTTCTATCTGTCTCTCACAGCCTGTTTTCTCGTTTTAAGACGGAAAACGTTAAATTTTAAGTGCACATACATAGAATCAAAATACCCACTTATAGACATACGTATTACTTATTATGGAGATCAAACCGGAAAATTAAAAAATAACTCTTTCAAGATGCCTCATATGATATTATTTAAAGAAATGTACAAAAAATATGGCGGAATTTACGATATTTCTCTTACTTAAAAAAAAAGTATGACTAAAACAAAAGAAAGGATTTTAATGTGCGGTAATTTAAAAGACAATTTTACACCTCACGGTAACATAATTAGTTTTAAATTATATCGGTTCATTTTAAGTTATTATTGTCAAGTTCATCCATGGAGAGTCGATTTCGTCTATGCCAAAATATAATCTTATCGTCTATATCACATCGTCTACATCACTATGTATTACAAGTATATGTATATAATATTGTTACATAATTTCTCATAACTACCAGACAAAAACAATAAAAAATATATTAATTTCCTTGTACGAAACCAATGAAATGGAAACGTATTCCTATACTCCAATTTTCCTATTACACACCGTAACAGTTTTCTAGTTATCGTGTTAAAACTAGTCACGGATTTAAAGTTTAAAGCCTGAAGAGCTTGAATTGAAGAAGCAAACCCTCTGAAGTAAGAAAATTGTTTAACTGATTTTGTTCCTTTCAGTTCAGTATATATTTCAGTTTTGTTCCAAACAATTTGAGTATAACAATGCGAGTCGGTCAATACGCTAAAGCGTATTGTCCAAACCGAATGTGGACGATCGCGACCGGTGTCTGTTATTTAAACAACTGAACTCATGTAAGGTAGTAACCTAAATAACTATTATCGATGGTATATGTTTTACCTGACTGACCCAGAAAGAGGGTTACATCTTTAAAGTATATAGATGGAAGTGCCTTTGAATATACATAATATGTATGTACATAATATATGTTAATAATACGTTTCCATTTCATTGGTTTTGTACAAGGAAAATAATATATTTTTTATTGTTTTTGTCTGGTAGTTATTAGAAATTATGTAACAATATTATATACATATACTTGTAATACATAGTGATGTAAACGATGTGATATAGATGATAAGATTATATTTTGGCATAGACGAAATCGACTTAGAAAATTTTAATGAGGATAGTTATCCATATTTTTCAAAAAAAACCTTAAGTCGTTGCACATTTATGAGATGGGCGAATAATAATTTGATAATCCATAATTATAAGTAATAGAATCGACGACCTTCGCTGCGAGAGTATTTATCTATAGAGCACTAATTGCACCACAAACTGTATTGGTAAAACATTGTGCTGTTAGTCGCAGTGTATTTTGGTTAGTGATTGTTGCGCAATCAAGCACTTATTGTTCTAAAATTGAACAACGCAATATCTACCACAAAGTTTGAAGTTTTAATAAAATAAAAAGTCTGAAATTGAAAGTTTTAAAATCGTATTTTCCTTTTTAATAAAAGAACTCCAATTACTAGGTTAGAATATTATTAATATAATAAATATACTTAATTATATATACAAAACAGATGTACACTTAATTATTATTGTACAAGTCATGTCCGCGTGGAATAGTGGCAAGAATGCTAGCCGCATTCCCCCGCTGAATGGCAATGCCGATTCTTTGGGATTTATTGTAATTTTATTTATTGTTATTAACATCTCCAGGTAAATTTCTAAGAAATTTATTAAATTTCTAAGAAATCTATTGTTAACTGACACGCCGGCGTGTCTGCGATCGTGGAGGGAATAAAGCAATTTAGAAAAAAGAAATAAAAAATATATAAATTTGAAATTTAGTCAGTATGTTTGAATGTTTTATACTCAATTACTCGTAAACTATCGAACAGATTTTGATAAAACTTGCCTCTAAGAAATCTATTTATTTATTTAATTTTTAAGGTATTACCATGTATTAGAATAGCATATAGAATACTTTTTATTTTTACCAACAGACGGTATTATCCAAAAACATTGAAATAAAATAAAGAAATCCCATCTTAAGCCAGCTATAATAAATAAAGCAACTTACTTCTAAAGAAAGTTTGGACATATCCACTGGTGTGATCCGCTTGAGCGCTGACAGTCGCTGCAAACGCTGCCTCGCTTGCTCCTCCACCGCGATGAGGAAAGCATCTTGAATTATATTGTGACCGATGTCCGACACTGAAAATATTTTGCTAAATTACAAAGAGTCACCAGTTTCTCATTTGCTGCCATCATGAGAATAGATATTAATGAATGAATCATGCAATCAGATATTATTGCCTAATTATCCATAGTCATTTATTTCTATTAGTTACTGTGCTGTAGATATTTTTATTGTACATAGAATAGGTATGTACATATTCCCGCCGATGTTCGTTCACCTTGTGATGGGGGGTGGGGCGGGGTGGCTCATTAGCGTCCGGCAATCCAGCCGGGCGCAAAGCCAAGAAACGTAATGGGAGACGCACATCTCGGTGGACGGTGTGCCATGCGGGTTGCTCCTGATACTTGTCCGATAGCAGAATAGACCGTGGAAGCAACCCCCTTGGTTGTATGGTCTGTTTCGACAGGCTTGCCGTTGGAGCGTCTTGGTTGAGTGCGTAAGCGACGCCCCATTAAGACAAGGGAGGTTGTGTTGAGTTTTAGTGGGTAACACTGGCTTTTCTAGCCGGTGAGTCCCACATAACCAATTGTATATATGCAGGTGGTATGTACGTATGTACGTACAATACATATTATCTAGTGGTTAGTAGGTAGGCTTTCTACCGTGGCTATGTTAGCTATAGCGAATTCGAAACGCCGGAAAACAAAAAAAAACGCGCGAAAACATCCGTAAAAATGGTTTTATTTAAAATGTCAAATATTCTCGTATATGTAAAAATATTTATTTATTTTATAAAAAAATGTATTCATTTATCAAAATGGAAAAGTTTTTATTGTTAAGTAATTTAATGATGATGTATGCTTGCAACTCCTTCAGTTTTGGAGTTTTCATGTGAAGACAAACTCGTCAAAACAAAATAATGCAACATACACATTTTCTTTATACTTTACCTATACCATTTGTAAGTTTGGATGAAAGGAATGAAATAGCTGTCTAGAAAGTTATTGAAGTCACGAACACTTTTGAAAAGTTCAAGTGTTAGAATGTTCATGCAATGGGATGTATAAAGGCGCTTCTTCTGAGAACGAGCCAGTTTGAATTCAATAAAAATAAAAAGAAATGCTTACAAAAAATGAAATTTATTTAAGAAATATTATATGTTTTATAAATTTTATTAACATTAAAACTGTTTAAAAATAAAACCCCAATTAAAATGATAGCATGACTTTGTAAGTAGACACCGTTTGTAATGAGTATGACCTTAGACCTCAAAAACCTTCGTCTGTCACCATGTTTGCTTTAAAGTATATAAAATCAATATAAAATCACAAATATTCGAAAAAAATGTTTCATCTGAAATATCGAATATCCGCGTAAATCTAAGAAAGTTATTTTGTGCTCCAAAATATTTTTTAATTTTTATTGATCTTCCCGATGTATTAGATAAAACAACTACACTAACATCTGCTATGAACATAATAAAAATTAAGTACATATTTAAATCGATTTGTCAAAGACAAAATATTTCTAAAATTCACGTAAAACTGTCATACACGTCACTGTCATACAAGATGATGAATCTTTACATGCTTAAGCTTGTATTTAACTATTTCGATGTTACTTACACCTATAGTATTTATTATGTGATCTGTGCTAACACTTGCCGTATAAATTAAAAAAAAATCAACTCATGTCTTTCTACACTGATGCAAAATCAAATTACAGACAAAATCTTTAGAAACTGTTAATTCAGCCTTTATTCCTTTCCAAATATCGTCCAAACTCAACCACTTTATTAAAACATATACTATAATATATAAAAATCTATTGTTTGTTTGTGCAAACAACATTTCTTATCTTCTTTTAAAAAGTCCGTAATTTTTTTTCTTTTACTTTTAACAATTAACAGGTATACCGTGACACAACTTTACATTACTAATACAAATGATGAAAATACATACACAAAATTTTCTTATGCTATATTTATACTACTACCCTGTGTTAAAGGCTTTATGCTATACATTTTGTTGTAGCTCGCATTAGCTTATTTAGGTATGAAGAATATACGAAGAATAATTTCTTATCCATTTCCGTGGAAAGCCACGTTATATAATGAAAATATATTAATCATAGTTATCAAAATGATATCAACGGTGTGCCGGCCGTGTACTCAACTCATCAACTCCACCACACGTCGCTATCTCCGCACTATCCACTATATTGTTTTATGGCGCTTTCTCATATACTACATCATATAACAAAGATTAACAATCTTTGCTTATTATTTGTCCGTCTGTTTATCTATACATGTAGTAAAATTGTAACTAAACCGATTCTTTAAATTAAATATTTTTTGGAACATCTTATTGAAATAAGATCATTATTATCGATACAGCGGCCGAATCTATAGTTTTTAGATTTTTTGTCTGTCTGTTTGTCTGTTACCGCATCACAGAAAAAACCACTAGAGGGATTTAAACTATTACTTAAGAAAAATAAACCATTTACAGAGCCATAAGCCAAATCTCATTAAATAAATAATTGGCAATAACAAAAAAATATATTAAATTGAACTGAATTAATTCTCGCCGACAAACTGTGAAATTGTTTCTATCTCGGAAACGAGTCAGTAAATATAGTAGTAAGAGGATATTAGGAGTGTTATTTTCATTTTTCCTTCAAAAAGGACATTCTAAAAAGATTTACGCGAATATTTGACGTTTTAAATGAAAGTACCTTTTCAGATATTTTTAAATTTATATTACCGAAAATGTTTAAAATTAATATTAACAAATATTGTAAGGTGCCATTTTCCTATTTCTTTGATATCATTGTATAATTTTCTTGGTACTGTCTGTAACTACGAGTATATAAAAAAATTGAGACGTCTAAAATCTTATTCTCTTCCGTGACAATGTTTGCAGTAAAGCATTCGAGACGTCGGAAGCAAAGATGTAAAATGAAACTGCGACAAAATCCGAAAAGATAGCTTCATTTAAAAACTACCTAAGGAGCAAAAGCGACAAATTATCTAGTTTATCTTTGAAATAAAAATACAGACAAATTTTGTATCTGCATTATTTTGAAGACGATCAAAAAACTACACATACATATTATACAAGCGACTATAATAAATTGATTGATGAATAGTTTTTTTTATCTGTTTTTATTTAGGGCCTTTTTAAGCACTAGGCGAAAACGTCAATACTAAGCGGCCAAAATTAATAAGAAAGTGCTAGCCACTAACTAAGTACCACTTCCTGTTACTTTCACCGACATCGAAGTATTTGTGACTAATGGCACATAGTCCTAATCAGACCGGAATATTTTGCATGGATTGTACAATACATTCAAATTAAAAAAAAAAAAATTAAAAATTACTAAATGTAAAATATATACTTAAAAGGTCAGAAATAAGTCTCATTTTATTACAACAAAGAAACCAAAGTGTTCACTAACACCTAAATGGAATTTTGTCAGTCAAAGTTTAAATGCTTTTTTAGGATTCTGTACCCGAAGGGTGCCAACGGAGCCCTATTACTAAGCCTCCGCTATCCGTCCGTCCATCTGACAGAGGGCTGTAACTCATGAACCGTGATAGGTAGAGAGTTGAAATTTTCACAGATTATGTATTTCTATTGCCACTATAACAACAAATAATAAAAAACCAAGATGGATAATTTCAAAAAGGCTGTCATGCTAATTAAAAAAAACGATTATGGTACGGAACGCTCCGCGTGCGAGTCCGACTCCCACTTGACCGATTTTTTTATTTACTTATAACACCTTTTGCGTTGGGGTTAGAGATACATCTTGTGATATAACGATGAAAAACGAATGCTAGTAACTATACTGAGGATGTTCAAAGAAAAAAAAGGGTCCAAATCACAGGAGAGAAGATGGTAATTCATCTTTCACTCTTGTAAGTTTTCGCTATTTTAATATATGTATAATAAAATAGTTATTAATTGATTATACTGGTCACACTGACGACGCGAACGCACAAAATATGATATCTTTATAAATCAGGCAGTTAAAAATGACGAAAATGGTCAGGCCAAAAAAGTAAAATAAAAATTAAAAGAAGTTTCGAAACATGATGCTGGCTTTTCCTGAGATATTCTAACTTACGCATCGAACAAAACGCTACAAAACATTAACTGCTCCTTTATGTACAATCCATACTTCCATACTAATATTATAAATGTGAAAGTGTGTTTGTTTGTTTGTTTGTCCTTCTTTAACGTCGAAACGGAGTGACGGATTGGCGTGATTTTTTGTATGGAGATAGTTGGGGGGCTGAAGAGTGACATAGGCTACTTTTTACCGCGGGAGATGATCTTATTCCCACGGGAAAACTCGTTATAATACAACTCAAAAAAATATTTATGACCAGAATTACTTCGAACTTGGTATAAATGCTATTCAATACAATTAAATAAATACGTATTTCAGCATTTTTCGAAATTCATTGCGTATGGGAGTAAAATAGGGGATGTAAGTTTCTATGAAACCTACATTTTTAGAGATTTTTTTTTGTAGTTTTAGCGCGAGCGAAGCCTTGGGTTCTGCTAGTTATGTCTATATAATATTATGTCATAGATTAAAATTGTACATATATCAATACGTATATCTTTTTTGCTATCAACTTCGTCGCAACTTTATTTGTACTATGTTACATTACAATTCATATTCAATAAGCAATCCTAAATTCTTGGACTGTTTGTCTGATGACTCAAGAGGCTTTGGCAAGACCGCTACATTAACCTACTAAACCCTATTTCTACCTCATTAAGATTGAAAATCGATTAGCTTTAATAGATATAGCAGTAACTAGTTAGGTTGTAAATGAAGATATTGCTTTACAGGATTATTATCGCTATTTATACAGACTTAGTGGCTATAATTATGTGGCAGGTTTGTTAGGTCTGTGTCGCAAGCGTTGACTAATGTAAAGGTATTGTGACGCCCTCGTGTAGAATACTAAATTATAAGTGCTCTTGCATACGGGATGTTGATTCTTCCACGTTTTAATTAAAAAATGTAACGTGAAATAACATTTGAATGGCTAACC